CAATTTCACAAAAATATGCTTTTGATTTGGGACTTTTTTCATTCAATTTGTGTGGTATGCCTAATTTGGAGGCTCAACTTCTTCAGTATAACATTCATCTAATCTTTTTTAAAGAATAATTTTCCCTGCAGCTATTTTCCTGTCCTGTATGAATGGAACTGTGATTGGTTGGATACTGGACTTCCTGTGTTGATTTTCTTACTTTCATATCTCTTCCTTCCCATTTCCCATATAGATTTTTCCTCTTACATTCCAGGAGTAATAATATTTTTAATTTATGAGCATTTTCTTGTTTGCTGTTTCTTTTCTAACAGCATGCTATTCTTCTCCCACGGATACATCATCTTTTCTAATCTTTCTGAAGACATAAATTATAGTTCTTCTGAAATTTTCTTCTGCCCCTTGAATTGACTGTTTCCTATGAACTCCTTTTCTCTGTGTCTGGCGTCTTTGGAAGGCTATTCCTATTTAAGTGGAAAGCATTACAAAGCTCACCATGCACCAGTGTGTGTGGATGGTGCCTGGAGATTGCTGGGCCTTACCACACAGTGACCAGATGACCCGCTGGTCTTTTGCTGGAGATCCCCAAATGTCAGTATCTAAACTCATTTTCTCTGGACTTTGCAATCTGTTGCCTGTGAATGCAGTAAACATGGGGGTCGGCATCCTGAGAAAAGCAAACCATAGCTTCCCTACTGTAAGGATGTAGCCTTTCACTTAATCCTCTTATTTCCAGTGTGCACCTCACCCTAGCTTTTCTTTTGCTGGTGTCCCCAAGTCTGGGGTTCAGTTTCTTTAGCAAATACTCTGGTGACTGCATAGATGGGGGTAAGAGCAGCCCTCTGACTGTATGGGGAAGGGGTGGAGACTGGCTGTTCTCATCACTTGCTCACCTCACCCCACATCATTTCTGTGGTATCTGAGGCCTCCAGTTCCTGAGCCTTGATAGGTCCTGTGGGGCACTGTTTCTCACATGTACCCCTTCCTCCATCCCCTCACCCTTGACGGCACTTGGGTTGGACCTTGCTCTGCTAATTTATGAACCACCCTCCCTCCATTTTCTGCCTGTGTTACTGTTCCATGAAAGGTGAAATTTGTGTTCATTTCTTGTTCCCCTTGTTATTTGGGGGTGATTTTTGAAAGAAGGGAGTATAAATGTCTTTTTCTGTTACCTGTGTCATCTCAAGACTATAAGTCAGCTTTGTTAGGTTTAGTGTTGCCAACACTAAGTAAATCCTAAAGTCTATCAAGTATGCAGTAATTATCTATGATACTGTGGGAAAAAACTTGTAAACAACAATAACACTGCACAGAAATTTAGAGAGATTTTGCCTGTGAAAGTGCTATGGACTAGAACTAGCTAATGAATCAGAACAGTAAAAATAGGAATAATGTTAAAATAAGGTCATTTGACCAGAAATTTAATTAGAAGTTAAAAACCAATGTCATGTAATAGATTCAAGATCAAAATCCCAAGCCATTTTTAAGCCATCACTTATCACTCATTCTATAATAGGATGGAACTTACTTTTATATAATTTTCTACATAGTTACATTTTCCCTCTGGAAATCCAACATCTGGCTCTTAAACTATTTGTATCATGGATACTTTTGAGAATTTAAAGAAAGCCATCCACC